CTACAAACATATTAACGCCAAACATTCGGTAGAATTTATAGAATATTGTAAATATATATATATATATATATTCTTTTTAACTTCTAATTCTCGAGAGAGTGAACTACATTTTTTTAAACTTCTAATTCTCGAAAATAATAGCATAGCTTTCGAGAATATATATATTTTTCATTTCATTTATATAATGGAAAGCCAAATAAGTTATAAATTTAACTTGTGGGTAGGCCATCCTTAACTAAAATCATAAGGTACATGAAAAAGAAGTCAGATAGGTAGGCTACATCAAATTTAATTATTTAACATAAACAGTAATTATTCTGAGCAAACAAATTTTATCATCACAAAAACTGAAACCTAGAAGGTGGTGTCGGGATCCAACTTGAAAAGTAAATTAGTAAATTTTTTCTTAAATAAATACAGATTATTTAAATTAGATATTTGTACTGAAACAAATTTAGGCCATATTGAAGGCCCCGTGTTTTGTAGTTGTAAAGAAGAGGGGTGTGTCTAGTTAAGGTAGTTTTAATTAAGTGGCTCTGTGTATTAAAATTTGAAAATGTTTTTGGTTGCAAACTATTCAGAAATTTAAATACAAATATTGTAGAAAAATGAATGTAAAGAAGATTAATGGTCATAATTTTATGTTTGATAAAATAGGATTTTATCAAACAGTTATATTTAGTATTTAAAGATTCCAAGAAAGATTTTCGGTAATTGTGATTCATAAAAATTTCGTGGAAAAAACTCTTGTTACTGGAATATTGTTTATTTAGAAACTTTAGAAATTTATGACTCAGGATCAAATGTATTTTTAATAAATTCAAAATTATTGTCAATAAATTCAAAGTGAAAAAATCTATTGTAATAATGACTTTAAAGATAAAGATTTTTAAAATTGAAAAATATTAATATTTTTGTTATAGATAAAGAAAATTTTGATTACGATTTTTTAATTGGATTAGATTGTATAAGAGCGTTTCAATTATGTCAAAGGAAACCAACAAAGATGGACCAGCCAATAAATTGTACACCATAACTCAATTCATAATGAAGTGGAAATCCTTCATTACAAACATATTGACGACGAGAACTCAAATAACTATTGATCCAGTCAAGAGCAGTTTCTCTGATACCGTAATGATTAAGTTTTTTCAACAGTATATTATGATCAATCATATCGTAAGCTTTGGAAAGATCAAGGAATATACCTATCGAGAGTCTTTTGTCATTTAAATGGCTTAAAATATATTGAGATAAATCCAGAACAGCCAGCTCAAGTAGAGAACTTCGGGAGAAAACCGTACTGATTATCACTGATAGTATTGTAAAGATTAAAAAAGAAAATAGCCTTTTGAACATAATTTTTTCAAGAATTTTAGATATTGGTAATAGGAGAGTCTGTAATTATTTACATCCTCTTTATTTCCTTTTTTTAGACATGAATAATTTTTGAAATCTTGAAATGTTCAGGAAATGTACAAGTTTCTAGTGACAAATTAAAAATATGTAGTAATGATTCTATTAAATTGACCAGTCTTGTTTGTTTAAAAAATTATTTATATGACTGATTGTATCAAAATTAATATTTCTAAATGGCTTGACCTGGAGATTTTTAACAGATTTAGATTGTTTCGAGATAGCAGAAAAATTTGGGAAATGGTCAGATATATCCTAAATGATTATACTTGAAAAGTGAGCAATTAAGTTGTTGGTAAAAATATTATCTATGAGTGAAAAGGTTGTGGGTGTAACACGGGTTGACGAAGATATAAGTGGAAAGAAATTATAGGCTGTTAATAGATTATAGAAGGTTTCAACAGATGAATCAGAGTTTATTTCATTAAGATCGATGTTGAAGACTCCGACTATGTAAGTAATGTTATTCAAGTTTATGGAAGATAAAATATCATCAAGATTACGTGTAAATAATCATGTGAGGAATTTGGAGGATGATAAATACTAAGCAACTGAATTTTTATATTAACTAACGTTAAGTTCAAAAATAACATCAGTAACATTATCGTCTGCCAAAAATTGGTTGTCAATGTGTATCCCGACACCACCTCTCAGCCTGTTCGACCTGTTTTTAAAGACAAAATTATAATTTAATAAATTTACTAAACCAGCAGTTGATTCATTCAGCCAAGTTTCAGAAATAACAATAACAGAAAAAAAATTATGCAACGAGTTATTTAACAATAATAAATCAAAAACTTTATTAAACAAACTTCCAAAGTTGATATGTAATATTGAAAAGTGATTACGGCTAGGAATATAATAATGGTTATATAATATATTAGCTAAGTTATCAACAGAGTAATAAGAAGAGAGGCGTTGAAACGAATTAAAAAAGTTAAAATCGGGATCAATGTTAATATTAAATTTAGTAGTCTTGTGTTGAAGAGATTGCGTTGCTGAAAGTGTGGTCAACCATGTTGCTTTGGAATGTTGAGGAGGTATTACTATTCATTGTTGGATTTGTGTTGATTAATCGCGTCGTAGTCGTTCGTAGTCATGTCGACAGATTTATTGACCACGTTGGTACTGTTGGTGGCGCCGGTGTTATTCTCACTAAACAAAAGCATACTTTCACGTTGAAGAATGATGCTGCTGATAACGTATGTGTTGTTTTACCGCGTTCATTTTTTTATTTTCACTATTTATTATTTTCTTTAATTCATTAATAATTTTTTTTTTCTATTTATTAACTCCATTAAATCGTTAGGTACTTTTTTAGGAATTTTTTAGGGTTAAGAATAACAAATGTCGGCAATTGTTGATAAATATCATTCACTAAAGATGTTTGAATAATTTCAATTATGTCACTTACAACAATGTTGTTCAATTTGTCCAATTTAGAATTTCCTCGCAGTTTCAATTGATTTTATCTTTTTTTACAAGTTCAAGTTCAGTTCAAAAAAATTTTTTAGCAGTAATAAGTTCGTCATTATTATAAAACTCAACGACGTCAACTTTAAAACTTTCTTTATCGAAATTATCAATATTATTAGTAAAAAAACCATAAAACTTCCGAAACGTTGAACTGTTTGGTAGCCATTTTTATCTATACATATATATATATATATATATATATATATGTGTGTGTGTGTGTGTGTGTGTGTGTGTGTATGTGTGTGTGTGTGTGTGTATATCAATCAATCAATCTTCGTTTAGCGTCCAGAGACCCAGTATCCCGAGGTAGGACGTTGTTTTCTTTGCCATCAATTTTTTGCGCCAAATTAGACGATCAGTGGTATCCATTTTATTTAAATTTAGAGCTTTCATGTCTTTCTCGATTGTTTGCAACCAGGACTTCTTTGGACGGCCTTTGGGACGTGTGCCAGGTACTTCAACATCTGCAAGAGAAGTTATGGCACTGTTTCCACTTCGTTTGACATGACCAAACCACCGCAGACGGTGTTGCCGGCATTTTTCCTTTATATTATCTAAACCAGCACGACGCAGGATTTTGGTAGATTTGATGTGGTCCTTCAGAATAATTCGTTGCATCCATCGGAGCATTTTCATGTCGGTTCGTTGAAGTTGTTCCAGTTTGGTTGTTATTGGCCATGTTTCTGCACCATATAAAAACACCGGACGTATCACAAATTTGTAAAGTCTTTATCGTCGTGGTATTTATTCATTTAAAACAGGCTGCACGTATGCGTGCTCGAACGGCAGCTTCAGCTGTTCCAGTACAATCCAGAACATCCCCTAGATATTAAAACGATGTGACTTTCTTTGCCTTAATGGCTTCAAAAACACTGCTATTTTGTATTTGTTCTTGTGGATTGATGCAAGCAGGACAAACAAAATTGGACACTTTAGATAAAGTGCCAATTATTTTTGAACAACGTATATATGTATATATATATTATTTTTTAAATGTTGGTAGTAGACCATAATTTTTACAATATGAATGTTTCGCGTAAATATGTTTGTAGTTCGTTTTTTCGATTTTTCTCACTAAAGTTTTTTGGAGAACGTTTAGTTTATTAAAATTCAAAATAAACTTATTTTTCAAATTCATTCTGCAAATAAGGCCATATTTCTAATGAGTCATCATCAGTGCAAGTTGATTTATATAGGGAAATTAGGGAAAAAAAGTCCTTATTGACATCAATAAACCAAAAATAAATATACAACAAAAAATGACAACCTCTCTTCCAACCCGGTGCCTAATCAACAATGAAAACAAAGAAGTAATAAAAACTAGCATTGTAAATATTGACAAAGAGGAATATGATGCTATCAATGAAGAAAAGGAAACCAACAAAGATGGACCAGCCAATAAAGAAATCTAAGTTCATTTTCACAAAGTAAATATTTCCCTATTTAAATCGACTTACACTGATAATGATTCATTCGGAATATGAAATATGGCCTTATTTGCAGCATGAATTCGGAAAATAAGTTTATTTAAAATTTTAATAAACTTAACGTTCTCCAAAAAACCTTAGTGAGAAAAATCGAAAAAAGAACTACAAACATATTAACACCAAACATTCGGTAGAATTGATAGAATATTGTATTTTTTAAATATATAGATTTTTTATTTGATTTATTTACTTATTATTTATTTTATCCATTTTATAAATATGTAATTATATTTGTTAATAATTTTTTCAAATGTCACTTATCAGCTGCCAAACTAGGCAGAAGATCTCACAAAATGAGAGAATTAATAAGCGAAGCAAGTAAAACAGTGGAGGATTCTCAGACCGCACAAGCCTTGCACGGCCTGCTCAGTTTGAAATCTCCTGAATGTTCCGATTCCGATAATTTAGTGTCATCGTTAACCAAGCAACCCAATAAACTTGTGCGGTTTCAATCGAAGAGAGTAATTGTGACTAAAGATCATCGAAAAAATATTGATCCTAAAAAATCAGGTCAAGTTGCAGCATCAGAGGATTCTTCGTTTACAGGGTTATCATACAAAGCAATCAAGCCGAAAAGTTTACCAACTCAGAGTTCTACCAGTAAAATACCTGCTTCAGACAATACGATGAAAATTATTTTATCAAACTCGCAAGAAAATCAACCAACATCAAACTTGATGCCTGATAACATAATTTCCGTACCATCTACTTCACAATCTAATGTTTTACCTGTTCAGTTGCTATCAACGTCAATAGGGATGGTGGCAATTCCAACTTCGTTTACAATGAACCTAGCAAAAAATAATGATGAAAACTTTTCAAATGTTTCTTTGATATCTAGAACTTTTAACACAAAATTAAATTCTGAGAAGAGAAGTTGCAATCCTGTCACATCTTCAAATCAATTAATTTTTAATCTGAACGTTGGAGAACTGCTGTCGTCGGACTGTCCAACAGAAGCTAAGATTTCTTTGGACTCGTTAGAATCAAATTCAATCAATTTTTCTTATAAGATGACATCAAATTTATCAACTTCGAGTGAAATTTCTGAAGAACTCAATGCGTTATCGTCAAATTTATATGATGAAGACAAAGTTTATTCAGAAATTCAGCAAGCATTTTCTAAATATATTTTTACCATTCGGAGCGTTGAATATAAGGTAATCTTATATTTTATTGATGGCTCATTTATTAATTTTGTTGTTTGTTTTTGCATTTGAAAGTAGTTTTTTGTACTGCTATGAAAGAATTGATTAAAACTTTTCAAAATAAATCTGATGTATTTTAATCTTTTAAATTGCTTGAACTTATGAAAAATGTAATGTTCGCTAAATAGTTTATCAGTGGGAGCATTTTAAAGACAATATAATGAAAGTAGACTTTTTGAGTCAAAAAATACAAAACTGTAACAGTAGGGATAGATGTAGTTATGGCTAAGATAAGAAAGCTAATATGGGATATATTTTGTATGCTCATTTTAACCAAAACATCAAAAATTTAACTGGGTAGATATGCGAGAAGTGACAATTTGGTTACCTGATAATTGGCTGGGTAGGAAACTTGGCGTTCACTGTGATTGAACTCAAGGCCATTTGCATTGAATAAGGATTTTTAAGAATGTGTTTTTTATTTATATATTATTATTATCATTACCATCATCATCATTAATATCATGATTATCATTAAATCAATTAATCGATACAATTATTCCAATGACAGAAATTTTGCCCAGTGTCTACAACCCCATGGTCGAAAATGATAGAACAACTAAATGATTTTGTAGTAAACTTGACCACATTTGCTGAAAGCATCCCATGTTTTAAAAAACTTACTGCTCTAGACAGAATGAACATAATTCAAAAATCATCGATTGAAGTAAATCTTAATTCATTTGAGAAAAATAATGATTTAAAAAAAAGTTATTTTTTTTAGATTTCAATTATATTGAATACCTCGTGTGTTGATGCACAGACCGACACGTTATTTCTTCATTATGGGTACCCACTGACTCAAACAGAATTGAGTCTTGACCTGCCATCCGCCTCTTCATTTATAGATCAACTTTTTCAATTTTCTGCTAGATTTAACAATCTGCATCTTACAGAAATTGAAACAGGCTTGTTCTGCTCTGTAGTTCTCTGCATGCCAGGTCATTTTTTCGTAACTTTTGTATTGTGATGAAAATATAGGTGTTACATTCAAAAAAATATACATATTATATATACATATATACATATATACATGTTGTCGGAACAACATTAAATTACCCCCCCAATAAAATTTTAACTGGAGTCTATAAAATATTTAGGCAATTAAACTTTGAGTCAACTTTGTGACATTTTGGCTCGTAGTCTCGACGAAAGTGCAGATAATATACTAATTTCAGTCATGGATTTTGACAGTTCATATGAATCTTAACATTTGACAATTTTTTCCATTTGTGTGCACCAAGTTCTATACTTGGTTACTTTTTCTTCTGGAATGATTTGCATTTTGTGTCTTATTTCTTTACATCTTGAGATTGTGTTGTATAATTATGATTTTTGTGAATCACAATTTTGGCAGAAAAAATAACGTAAATTTTTTAAACTAAACCAAGCTACCCAAATACATGTCTTACTATTAACTAGAAATGCACCAAATAATAAATTTTTCCAAAGACTGAATAGCCGAGTCTACTATTTTTGTTCATTTATTTCTATTAGAGACGCCAAATGTTTGCCTGACCAAATATTCGGCCAAAATTAGACATTCGGCTTAGAATAGTGCAATTTTCGTTTAAACCATCACTTTTTGGGTTCAAGAAGAATAATTGCTGAATACTATTTGCCAGAAATTTATTTTGGCTTTCATAGTTAAAACATTTGAATTTGAACATGAGATTGAATATTATCTCGATAAAAAGTTGTTGGATCGACATAAATCTTACACTATTTTTTCAATGGCTTGTTTTCATTCTAAAAATGAAAATTTTTTCAAAATTGTGGGTGTTTTAGTGATCGGCCTTTGGCTTCGACCGAATAGTGGATCAGTTATTCAGCCTCAAATAGTTGATCAATTATTCGACCTTTGGCCAAATTCATGGTTCACTACATGTTTAATTTTTATCCAATTTTTTATCGAGAAAATATTTAATCCCTTGTCCAAACAGATGTCTTAACGGCTATGATGGCCGAAATAAATTTCCCGTTAATAATATTCAACAACTATTGTTCTGGAAACCAAAAAAGGAATAGCTTAAACGAAAATTGCACTATTCGGTAATTCGATAGTATTGTCGGAGTTAACTGTAACTGAAACTAAGTCGGTTAACTGAAAAAATCATTTCAGTTAATTGAAACTGAAATCAACCAATCAATCTTCGTTTAGCGTCCAGAGACCCAGTTCCTCCGAGGTAAGACGTTGTTTTCTTTGCCATCAATTTTTTGCGCCAAATTAGACGATCAGTGGTATCCATTTTATTTAAATTTAGAGCTTTCATGTCTTGCTCGATTGTTTGCAACGGCCTTTGGGACGTGTGCCATGTACTTTACTTTAACATCTGCAAGAAAAGTTATGGCACTGTTTTCATTTCGTTTGACATGACCAAACCACCGCAGAGGGTGTTGCCGGCATTCTTCCTTTATATCATCTAAACCAGAACGACGCAGGATTTTGGTAGATTTGATGTGGTCCTTCAGACTAATTCGTTGCATCCATCGGAGCATTTTCATATCGGTTCGGTGAAGTTGTTGTTCCAGTTTGGTTGTCATTGGCCATGTTTCTGCACCATATAACAACACCGGACGTATCACAAATTTATAAAGTCTTGATCGTAGTGGTAGTGGGATGTCACGCCGCATCAATATAGAGGCAAGGAGATGCTATTTATTCCAGGCTGCACGTATGCGTGCTCGAACGGCAGCTTCAGCTGTTCCAGTACAATCCAGAACATCCCCTACATATTGAAACGATGTGACTCTCTCTACTTTAATGGCTTCAAAAACATTGCTATTTCGAATTTGTTGTTGTGGATTGATGCAAGCAGAACAAACAAAATTGGACACTTTAGATAAAGAACCAATTATTTTTGAACAACGTTTGTGACACCACTGATTACACTGCTGACCCTTGATTGAATTGTTACGTACACCAGCTTTACAAATTGAAGAGGGCCATCGTGCAGTAGCTGTGAATTGGATGGGTTCACCAGTGTTCATTGCTTTGGTTTTGCTGATGTTGACTTTGAATCCATGATCGATCAGTTTGATGTTCCAATCTCCAAACATCTGTGCTGCATTCTGCTCAGACGTGGCTGTTAAAACGATATCATCAGCATATATTATATTCCAAATGTCACCAGTGCGTATCGGTTTTGTGATTTCTTCCATCACAGTTATAAATAAAAGTGGACTGAGAATCGAGCCTTGGTGAACTCCAACGCCGATGTCAAATGCATCTGTGTTTCCAACTGTTGTGCTGACAAGAGTCTTAATATTCATATACATTTCCATGACAAGTCGAACAAGATATTCTGGAATGAGTTGTCGACGTAGACTTCACCTGATTGCTTCACGGGGAACTCGATCAAATGCTTTTTCAAGGTCTACAAAAATGTGTGATAGTTGTTGATGCTTTGCGAGGTACTTCTTCTTGCAGTTGCTGAAGGACGATACAGAGATTTCGTTTGTTCACCTTTCCTTTTAGCGAGCCACTCTCTGCACTGATCTCTCCGAGCCAATGCGACTTGACTTCTTGCATAGTTGTTCTTTTTACTTAAAATTTTATGGTCATCAACAGACTGATTTTTGCCATTGCTTGTATGCAGCTTTCTTTTCAGCTATTGCATTCTGTACCAGTTTCCCACAAACTGTAGTTGATTTTTGAATAGCCTTCGGTGTTTTTGTTTGACAGCGAAGAAATCAATTTGCGTGGCTGATGGTCCACTTTTGTATGTTATGAGATGTTCCATCCTCTTTCTAAAATATGTGTTCAGTAAATAAAACCCGTGACTTTCAGCCTAAAGGATGCGGTTGCCATCTTCATTCCGTTCTCCATAGCCAAAACCGCCATGTTCGTTGTCAAAACCATCTGTTTTCTCTCCAACGTGGCCATTGAGATCGTCTCCAATCAGGATTGTTTCAGATTTTGGTATTGTTGAAATGGTGTCGGAGAACGCAGCCCAGAAGTCTTTTTTTTAATTTATACTTAAACTTATAAGAATTAAAAAACTAAAACTGATTTAAAAAACAAAATAGAAAAGATTGAAAAACTGAAATACAAACTCGAATTATGTCATAACTCAAATCTTTTATAATCTTCAGTAAAAAAAATTACAACCAGCGTCCAGTTTACAATCGCTATTATTATTCAGTACGTTTTCGACTAATTGAATTATTGTTAGTTAAAGGTTATTTAAGCTTATCCTTTTAATTTATAATATATATTATTTATTAATTGAAGTGAATTTATGCTAAATTGCAGTAAAACAAAAAGTAAATAAATATAATATTCTGAAATAAGGTTATGGCTTAGTATTAGTATATAATAAGTAAACAATGCAAAAAGTTTGTTTTTAAAACATAATTTACAGCTTGTGTGAGTATTTAACATTTCGTTTTTCAAATCTTATAAAATTGTTTACCAATTTCAACACAACGTTAATTAATATTTAATTCTTTCTGAAAACAGAATGCAGTTTTGTTTTGGTTTTTCGTAATATTTATCCATTTTTTAGATATTCAAATTTGCAAACAATTACACCACCTCGAGAGCATAAATGCCATCAAACTTTGAACAAACAACAATTGTTTTGTTTTAATTTATTTACAAAATCGAAACTTAACTTAAAACTGTAATTTAAAATAACACTGAATTGTAAAACTAAATAAAAACTGAAAATTAGATAAAACTGTAACTTAACAAACTGAAACTCAAATTGATTTTGCAAAACTAAATAGAAACTGAAAGGAATGTCTAACAACTCTACTATTCGACCTTAAAATGGCCGAAGCCGAATGTATACTTTTGGCCAAATATTTGACGAGATTACTAGTTACTACTACTAAAACAACATTTTTTTCAGCGTTGTAAGTCCATTTTTTGGATGTCCCGCTGTCTGTAAAAAAACTAAAATACTACAACTAATAATGATGATGATGATGATAAAAATTAATAGAAAATTCATGCACCAAGCAACGTAGAAAAATAAAGAATTACGATTTTATTAACATGGTGATTTACGATGTTATATTTGTTATATGGGTCATTCTCCGTCAACTTGAACGATTTAAAAAAAAGTCCACGCCCGACCATCTCCGATTTTTTTAAAATTTGAACAGTAAGTACCTCAATGTATTTCATCGACAAAATAAAATTTTTATAAAAAAATTTCAATTATTTTTCAAGTTATGAAGATTTTTGTGACAGCATCCTCAAATTTTTGAGCGATTTTTTTCAAAACTTGTACCTACGTAGAACGCTATATCTCTTGAACTAGCCAACATATCTTGATGAAATTTTTTGTGCATATCAGTGAAACAATGTAATAACAAAAAAAATAAATGTTATTGTCTCGAATCAAAGAATATTTTGAACAAAAAATCTAGAAAAAAATGAATTTTTTGAAAATTTCACCGATTTCAAAACAGCGTAGCTCAAAATCTATCGCAAAATAAATAAATATTTTTTGTTATTTTAGAAGTACCTTATAGTCACAAATAAATCACAAAATTTCGTTAAAATCTGTCTTGAATTTTTTGAGCTATCGGAGCTCAAAATGTCAAAAAAATGAAAAACTTCTTTTGTTTGGCGCCATTTTTAACTATGAAGAACCAAACGTTTTTTAATTTTTAAAATTTGTTTATATAGTGCTTTTATAGCTTAACAACATATCAAAAAATAAA